CTGCCAAGCAAGCATAGATTTTAGTAAGAGCATCCTGCAAAAAGAGTCCCTTGATACTGGAAGGGTGCTTGAATCAAGGAATTTGAGTAACATTTCCTTAGCTAAAACCTGATTACTTTCTATTCCCAAGACGCTGTACCACCCCTTTGGGTTGAATCCTTTTGTATGAATGTATTTATAATTTAATAGAAGTTAATCCCTTCAGCTTAATCTTTTCGCACTTCACCTGCCTTGTAATCTTTATCTGGTTTGCGCTCATTACCTGCTTCGTGGCACCCTCTATTTGCCTAGTACCCTTCACCTGCCTAGTTGAGCTCGTCAAGTGCCTCTAGGCACCTTTCACTTTGTCTAGTACCTTTCACCTGCCTCGTGGAACCCTTCACTTACTTTGTACCCTTCACCTGCCTTCTTCCCTTCACCGGTAATGTACACTTGCATCGAACGATGTGGCAGAAATGCTCGAATAAAGCGGAGATCATAAACCTGGTAATATTCTCGTGAACAAACGATTGTCAGTGGCAGTAGCAAGGGAATTCACTGAACAAACAAGGAAGATATGCTGCTACCTTAAAAATAAAGAGAATCATACACCAAATATTATTCTCCTTGGAGACTTCAATCTGCGAAATGCAGTATTGTATCAGAAAAAAGTACTGTACTGTAGCCCAACAAAAACATACCAGGGAACTCCTAAAAATTTGCAAAAACATAAAAATAGGAGGAACACTGTAGTAGGCCTACTGGCCCGTGCGAGGCAGGTCCAATCCTCCCACCGGATTAAGCCAATGCCCTGACCTGAACACTGAACCACGAAATAAGAGAACCTATTTGAAATAAAAGATACTTGATTTAATCTTCACTGACTTGGACCATTAACTAGACACAGAAACGTGAAGGGAAGGGAACCAGTATATAAACAGCCGGGGGGGGGAGGGTGCTGGGAGTATAACGAGAGGCGGTAGTAGTATAATAGTAGAAGTAGTGGTAGAAACAGTGGTAGTAGTAGTAGTAGTAGTATTAGAGCGAGTGTAAGGACAAGAGAAAAAAGAAAAAGGAGCACTGCAGGAGAGGTAATGGTCCACGAGGCTAACACATAAACCCAGAGGGTAAACTCAAACGACAGAACCCACCTAGGCAAAAAAAGAAAAAAAAACAGGAAAGGCAAAGAAAATATGTATGCATGCATGTGTATGTGTGTGTATTATGTATGTATGTGTTTATGTACGTATACTGGTTAACAAAATTAATGTAAAGTTATTTTTTTTATTAGCACACTGGCCGATTCCCACCAAGGCAGGGTGGCCCGAAAAAGAAAAACTTTCACCATCATTCACTCCATCACTGTCTTGCCAGAAGGGTGCTTTACACTACAGTTTTTAAAGTGCAACATTAACACCCCTCCTGTTGCTTCCATTTAAATGGCGCATCCACCGTCTTACACACTAATATTTGAGTCCAGTAGTTTTAGGGGGGTTGAATGTAAGTTTGTTAGTGTTTCTTTTCTCATTAATATGACATTGTCCAATAATTTTTTGGTCCTATTTGTTGTACTTAGTGCGGCTGGGATTTTTAATACTGCAGGGAGCAGCATATTAACCGCTGAACTATACACAAGATGGTGTCAGGCTTTGAGCTTAAAAATTCATACGGGTTGTAAATAACTTTAACAATTGATTACTTATAGAAAGGAAAATGTGACGCGAAGTTTCGTTTTAGCCTCCGCGAAGACAGCGACAGCCAGAGTCTTCAAAGGTCTGTACTGCAGGCCATCTAGATAAAAATCATATCTGCAAAGGCTGCAATTAATTGGAACTGGAAATGTAGCTTGTATGCGCTCTCCTTCATCTTATCTTACCGGAAGACATGAGACAGCTTTCATCTTTCTCACCAGATCATTTTTAATGGTTCAAGGTACTTCAAGGAAGGTTGATGCCGACGAGAAGCTGTTCATCCAAGGAATTGGAATTGATCTCTTTCTGGGATCGATCCTGATTACTATTCTTCCAGGTATCATTTGACTCCAACAGGTTTAGGGCTCCACCATATAATGATAATAATAATAATGATAATGGTTCGAGGGATCATCGCCCCAGTGGCTCGGTCTCAGACTAGGCTTCCTGAATTATAAAATAATTAGTGCAGGAAAAGGAGTTTTTAAGAATATAAGTAGAGCTTATTAAGATTTACGGCTCATCCTTAAAGAGAAGGAAGAGCAATCGACAGTAAAGCCTTGTCTTAGGCTGGGCTATTTGAGTAGGAAGACTCTCGAAATCGGTATATAACAGGTATATAACAGGTATATAACAGGTATATAACAGGTATATCTCCTTTAACCTCCCTTTCACTTCTGCCTCTCACAACGTTTTTCTTTTTTTCCTTCTTCCTTTTCCCACTCCATCCCTCTCCCACCCTCACTCTTCCCTTCTCCCTCCCTCACTCTTCCCTCTCCCTCCCTCACTCTCCCCTCTCCCTCCCTCACTCTTCCCTCTCCCACCCTCACTCTTCCCTCTCCCACCCTCACTCTTCCCCTCTCCCTCCCCCACTCTCCCCTCTCCCTCCCTCACTCTTCCCCTCTCCCTCCCTCATCTTTCCCCCCTCCCTCCCTCACTCTTCCTCTCCCTCCCTCACTCTCCCCTCTCCCTCCCTCACTCTTTCCTCTCCCTCCTCACTCTCCCCTCTCCCACCCCCACTCTTCCCCTCTCCCTCCCTCACTCTTCCCTCTCCCTCCCTCACTCTCCTCTCTCCCTCCCTCACTCTTCCCTCTCCCTCCCTCACTCTCCCCTCTCCCTCCCTCACTCTTCCTCTCCCTCCCTCACTCTTCTCTCTCCCTCCCTCACTCTCCCCTCTCCCTCCCTCACTCTTCCCTCTCCCTCCCTCACTCTCCTCTCTCCCTCCCTCACTCTTCCTTCTCTCTCGCTCTCCCTCTCACTAATGAACCCATTAGTGTGAACTCTTAATCTGGCTTCCTCGTCCTCTTCTTTTCATCTTCCAATCATTATGCCTTTTTATGTCCTTTCCAATTTATAGTTGTTTTTTTTTTTCATAAAAAAAAATCCTCCTCCTCATTTTCTCACTTCATCGGGTCTTTCATGTTTATCACACCTCCTTCCTGTCCTGATTAACACCCGCTTATTATGTACAGCAACAGAGAAATCAGCTTTTTTGAGGACTTTGTTAGAGAAACGATGCTCTATAGTCTGCTTTCTATTTTTATTCAACACTTCGTAGGTTTCACAATTCTCTCTCTCTCTATCTCTCTCTCTCTCTCTCTCTCTCTCTCTCTTTACACAGGGTTTGACAAGGTTAGGTTAAGGATCCCTAGCTTTATTGACAAGCTATTTACAGGTTAAGGATTCCTAACTTTATTGGCAAGCTAAGAGCTGTTACCTACATCAGCTCATTTGAAAGCATTTTTATTGTTATGAGACATACAAGTAGGGAACAGGATGAAGTTAGAGCCATCTGTGGGCCAGCATTTTCATTTGATCAACTGACTTTATCTCGTTGACATCATTATGCTGTACGAATGTGTTCCATACTCGAGTCATCCTGGGTTATATATGATCTCAGATGGAGTGTGTTCTGGAGAAGGGTACAGCGAGAGTGAAGTTGCTGCTTTCTGCCCGTCTTGTGGCATAAAAGCTTGTTTCACGCTGTCCTCGAAGTTGATCCAAGTGTGGTATTTTGACAATATTGGCCTTGTACATAACAGTAAGGCCACCCACATCCCCCCTATGTTGAAGGCTCTGCGAAATGACAGATTCTATCCAGGATGGGTCCAGGCGAGAGATGAGACGTCTTGCTCTGTTCTCTACTCTGTCAAGTAGTCGCAGATGAGAGGGGGGGGGGCAGGCAAACCCAAAAAAGTGGAAACATACTCAAGGTGTGAGCGTACTTGCGCCTCGTACAGGATCTTGGGAACCCTACTGTCAAGCAGATGCGAGATACGGCGAAGTGCTGTAAGCTTCCTGGCTGCCTGTTTTGCAAGATTTACAACATGGTTCTTCATGGTTAGTTTTGGGGTCAATTTCACCCCCAAGGTATCAACTTCTTCTCCAGGTGCCAACACCCTCCCATTCATCCTTACTACTGCACCAGCATTACCATCATGGTGCCTAGAGACGATCATCATTTGCGTTTTCTCAGGAGCAAATGTTACTTGCCATCTATTTCCCCAAGCTGATATAGCTCTCAGCTGGTGATTTATGTAGCTTAGAGCAGCTGGCATTTCTTCTCTTGGATAAGTGAATGTCAGTGTACAGTCGTCTGCATATGCATGTGATTCTGGGATGAATCACATGCATATGCATGGACCCAGCACGCTTCCTTGTGGAACACTTGCCCCAATAGGATGTCTTGCTGATTCCGTTCCATTGAGAACTACACTTAGAGATCCACCCTGAAGGTAATCACTGAGGAGACATAGCGTAGAGCCTGCAATTCCCAGTGCTTGAAGTTTTGCTAAGAGGCCCTGGTGCCACACCCGGTCGAAAGCGCCAGCAATGTCCAGTGCTACCACACAGCTGACTTTTGGGTTCATCCAGTGATGGTGCCACTTAGTGGAGAGGTTTTTAAAAACAATCAGCGCAGAGTAACCTTTCCCTGAAGCCATATGACGATCACAAAGTAGTGAGTGGTAGTCAAAAAAACTATCATTTGTCTTGAGATTTTTGTCTCAAGGATCTTACCAGTGATTGACAGGAGTGACACTGGTCTGTAGTTGCTGATTTCTGCTCTGCTCTTCTTTTAGTGAACAGGGACTACATTTGCCTCTTTCCAAGAGAGGGCCATTTACACTGTACTAGGCAGTGCTGAAAGATGCGAGTTAGAGGTGCTGCTAGCTGGTCTGCACATCTTCTCAGAAATCTTGGCTCAACTTGTCTGGGCCCCAGCCTTTTCTTGGTCAAGCGATTTAAGAAGGAAATGCACCTCCTCCTGCCTTATTGTCACCACTGACGTTTTGACACAGTTCTTGCAGCTACCCAAGGAGGGTCCCTTGC